AGTTTTCAGCAAATTCGGTGATTTAAGGTATTTTGGCGCGGGCGCCAGGAGGTTTCGTGCCTAGCGGATGTGATATTCATGTTCAGGAGGTCAAACTACCCCAGGGAACAAATTTTCAGCCAATTCTGCCAACGCAGAAAAAAGTCGGTCAAAACTGGCCTGTTTTCGGAAGATTGGGGCAGTAAAGGGTAAATAGTGCCAACAAACCTTTATTTTTTGGAATAGCATTTCTAAGGCGTACTTGATTTGAGCAAACGAAGTTTTCCATGTGGATTTAAAAGTTGTATGTAAAACTATAAAAAGCTTGCGACTTGGGCTTGTTCCAGGTTTTTTTTTTTCGCGACTGTATATTGGATCAAGCCCAAATTATCTATTTCCACTTCATCTGTTTTAGGCAAGTGGAAGCGTGGGAGAGCTACATGCCTCTAAAAGTTAGAGAGAAAGCGCAAAAAGCTGTAGCTCATATTTTTGCTGATGGTACACTGGCTGCTGAGGAAGACATGCTGCGCCTATACAGAATAATGGTATACTCTAGTTCTTTTTCGCTATTGCAGTTAGTTTCATAATTTTCTTCCAGGCGAAGCACAGCAGAAAGATGGGAGCATCGAAGGTTTTTGAGAAAGTCGAAGAACAAGGACGATTCATCTGCTCGCTGAAGTTTCATCTTCTGTGGGCAGAGACTTATGCACAAAGCGGTAACCAAGAGCGTTTCATGCATGTGCTAAATCTCGCCAGAAACCGCTTACCAGAATTGTCCCCTCTAGAACTTGAAGCAGGATTCAGGTGATCTTAAATATGACCACTGTCACAGCCTACTCTGATGTAAATGTTACAGAGATCTTGCGGACCAGTACTTTCCCAATGCTGACATATTCAACGATGACGAAGAAACTATGGCTGTGTTCAATATACAAAAAGGTGGCGATGCAAGGATGAGGAAAAGTGCGAGAATCAGTCTTGATTTCATACTATCTAAGCAAGCTTACAAGTTTTCTTACAGATCGCCGTCGGTCATCTCTTGCCGCTTTTGAGGCGCGCGCCAAGGACAACTTCAAAATGGCACACGGACCTGCAGTTGCAACATTTGGTTCAGCGAGTTGGTCGCTTTCACTCTTCAGAACAGTCCTTGACAGGGCAATCATCAGAGTTGGGGATTTTGGTCGAGTCCGTACGACACCCCCCCCCCCCCCACCTCTACAAGGTGGCGTTACGACCTCCCTGGTTGTCCACCTGTTCAACGAGTAGGGGCTACCCGAAACGGGAAAAGTCGCGAGGATATACGCCCTCCCATATTACCTACCATTTTCAAGATTTTGCCAACTTCTTACCAGTTTTCGGAGTTTCCCAAGAATTTTCCTGCTTTTGCCCAAAAATTTTGTTAGTCTCTGCCCACAGAAGATGAAACTTCAGCGAGCAGATGAATCGTCCTTGTTCTTCGACTTTCTCAAAAACCTTCGATGCTCCCATCTTTCTGCTGTGCTTCGCCTGGAAGAAAATTATGAATTAACTGCAATAGCGAA